TTTCCAGCTCATTTGCATCTCTTCACACACGGCCCCTTGCCCTTGCCTCCTAGTTTCTGCATAATCCTATGTGCTGGTTTACTGATTTTTATATTGTTCACTTCACTGCAACTGCTTCACCAGTTCATTATTTTAAGCACTTTGCTGTCTGCTTGGTACAGAACATCCACTTTCAGCTAGCAAGCACTCTGCCCTCTCTTCAGGGCCCTCTCTTGGATGCCTGCCTTTCCTTGAAAGTATGACAAATGTAGGATAAACCCAGATACGATATATGTTATTCAACTGTATATATAGAAAAGGATGATGTCACAACAGTTTTATATCTCTGCAATTCAGAAATTCTTGGGAACTGCTTACTGGTACAGAACTTTTACAAGAGAGTGGGGAATCAATCTCTGTGTGGCATTTTTGGACAATGCAGGTGAATTCATCTCACTTCAGAGGTCTGTAGTGCGGATATGTACATATGAGCTAGTCACAAGGCTCCTTCTGAAGTGGATTACAGGCGATGGGGTGCTTTTAGGGTACAATTCTTCTGATCTGTTTGGGGGGGGTCTACATTGAGATGAGGTAAAGTGCACCCAGAAGTGACTGGTGCTGTCCATTCACTGTAAAGGAAGTCAGAACAACTCAGGTAATTGGAGACACAGGTAGCTAGATTTAGTCAGGTGTGTCCTCTCCTGTGTGGCTGTGTAGTATGCAGTAGTCATATTTCTGTGGGTTTGTGCTTAAGACTCACATTTTTTTCCTGTTAAAGAAAATTTTGTTTCGTTCTTTCTTTTGTATACAAAATAATTACAGCATGCAAGTTGCAAGTGAAATAATTAGTGTAAGAATTCAGATATAATAACATTGGATTGTTTGTTAAGTCAGAGAATTAAATTAACTTATATTAATTGTGACCTGTAGTGATGCCACAGGATCTAGAAGTGTAGGAGTGAGTCTTTAAAAATTAGTTTCATTTAATGTGAGATCAAGGTTGTAATCATGTTATTTACATTGGCATGGAGAGAGTTAGACTGAACGCCTTACCTGTGACTGCATTTTGTAGATTTCAAAGAGAAATTCAGCTCATGTATAAAGGAATTTGTCTCCTAATTTTAATTATGGATGGTCTTTACCACAATGTGAGTGTGCAAATGTGTTTCTTCTGGGAATGAAAGAGCATAAACTTGGAGCACTTCAGCCAATGTTGGCTAATTGCCCACGAGCGTGCTTTTTCCCCAAGAGCATTTTGCAGAAAAGGACTGTGTGTGCAGTTAATTTCCATGGAGTAACCAACATGTTCTACCTTCCTTCCCTATAACAGTGCTGAAGCTGAGGAAATTTCGGCTGTGTCGTGCTCCACCAGAGTCATGTAGTGCCATTAATCATTGACTGAATATCTAGTGTATTTGTCTGAATACACGTTTATTAAGATGGGGTACAAGGGCTTCAGGTGAGTCAGATCTTACACTCCCAGGAACTTAGGTACATTTTTTGGGTAGGAAAGAATTGCTTTCTGCTAGACCTTTTAAACCAATGTGTTTTACCTCTTGACAAAGTACTGAGTCATCCACTGGCTGGTGGAAAGCACTTGAAAAATCAATAAATACCCATTCTGCCCTGTAGGAGAGTTGACTTCTCAAGACTCCGTATGTCATTCCTTGGTTGGACAAATGCTGGCAGAGGACAAGTGGCCCTGGGAGTGAAGTGGGGAGCAGATCGGTTGCGTGTCAGGGTGTTCAGGAAAAAACGCTGGCAGGTTCCAAAGACCGTTCTCTGCAGCAGAACAGTTCTGTTGTGATTTAGGATTTTTCTGTAGGCTTAGGTCTAGATCAGAGAAACTTTCAGAAGGTATGGAAGCATAGGTCCTCTGGACTCCATCTAGTTCCTGCTTGCTAGGTGGGTAGGCAGTGAAAATACTAGCACATGAGGCCATTCACATGACCCGAAGGCTATGTATTCTGTAACTACTATAGCTGAACTTACTGCACATACCTTCTTTACCTCCCAGGACCCTCTGGTTAGGGTCATCTTCCAAGCTCTTTTTATTAGCCCCTCTTCCTTATGCCAGTTACTCTGCATACCTCTTGCTTTTTATCCTTCTGCCTGCAAACCTGTTTCTCTTCATCTGCAGTCAGAGTGCCAGTGTTTGCTGTCTTTACCTTTGCTTCCCAGAGCTGGGAAAGTGTTGATTGCTTCTGCTCTTCTTATGAATGTGTCACCATTCTCTGTTCTGCCTGTTCTCAAAGAGCAAGAAAGGTGAAGTGAGTGGTTTCTTCCCTTTTCTTCCTCACGTTTCTTTTCCCTCCACACTAAGGGCTGCGTTTGCTCCCATTTCTCCTCTCTTCTCTCTAAGACAGATTTTTACCCTTGAGGTTCTCTTATTTTCTGTTTTCCTGTTTTTATTTAGAATCTCTCCCCTCCCCTCCCTTTCCCTCTTTACTCATTCCCTTCCTCTGGTAAAATAAGGATAATAATGCTTCCTGACCTATGGTCTTGTCTGTTCAAGTAATAATCTGCTTTGATAGGGATTATTTTCTATGCTGCTGTGTGTTCCAAACATGATTGGTTCCCTGGCAAGATTAGGTACCACCATAAAAACATAGCATAGTGTTAATAATGCAAACAAATTCTTTTGGTTTATCAACCATTCAATTCTTACAAGCAATTACAAATATCTCTTGAATAATTTTTTTTTTTGTGTGTGGTGTCCTGGTTTTGACTGGGATAGAGTTAATTTTGTTCCCAGTAGCTGCTGTGTTTTGGATTTAGTATGAGAAGAACGTTGATAACACTGATGTTTTTAGTTGTTGCTAAGAAATCAAGGACTTTACCTAGTCCCATATTCAGCTGATGAGCAGGTGTGCCGGAGCTGAGAGGGAGCGCAGCCAGACAGCTAACCCAAGCTGGCCAGTGGAAATATTGCATACCATTAATGTCATGCTCATTTTATAAAGTGGCTTGGCCAAGGGGCAGGAATCCCATTTTTTCCCTTGTCTTTTCCATGAGTTTGAATCCTCTCTTGGCCAGGAGTTGGAACTTTTCCAGCCATTCAGTCTTTTTTGGGAATTTTGGGAAATCTATGAAATTCATGATTTCTGGGTTCCATGATCTCTGCTCAGGCACTGGCTGCAAACTGGTCACTGGGTGGTGAGAAAAATTGTATACAGTTTGTTCTGCATATTCATTATTATCTTTATTACTATAATTACGAGTATTAATATTTCCTTTGTTGTACTATTAAACTGCCTTTATCTCAACGCATAAGTTTTACAAGTTGTCCATTTCTTCTCCCCATCCCACTGGGAGGGGAAGGGGAAGGGTGAATGAGCCGCTGTTGGATCCTAGTTGCCAGCTGCCGTGTTAAACTTTGACATTTGGTTACTTTAGTAACTGTGTATTATTTTCTGTTGCTGCCTATTTGAAGAACTTATTCTGGTTTTTTTTAAGATTTACTAATAATTTACTAATCTTTTTGATTTATATAATTGTTTCAAATGTAGGCTATTACAGATAATTCCTTCAGTACTTAAAAAATAGGCATGATACAAAAAAATGAGTAGAACGTGTAAAGTGATCTAAAAATTGGAGAACTGTGAATTCCAAAACTATTTTGAACTTTAATCTAGCAGGAAAAGACATAAAATCTTGTTTTGAAAGCTGAAGCTAGAGAAATTCAAATTAGTAAAAGGTGCACATTTTCACTATGAGAGTATATATTAGTTTTGACAAGATATGTAGTGAGACATTTTCCTTTTCTTGAATCTTCCTAAAATAGATGCTGCTGTGTAAAGAGAAGCAATAGGGTTTTTGCCTAAATTGCTGTTTGACCTCTAATAATGCAGGAAGACAGATTACATCATTGTAATAGTCCTTTTGGCTTTAGAACCTGTGAATTTTTGAATCTATGAAATGTTTCTTTTTTTTTAAAAATTTTATTTTCTAATTGAGCATTAGCCAAATTCCTAAGCCTACATCTGTAGCTGAGGATGTTGAGTTCTAACGTCAAGTTTTCTTATGGCCTTTGATTCACTGTCTTTAAATCAGAAGTGTCCTCCATCTCATACAGTGATGAGTACTAAGTACAACATTAAATTAATGGGATTGAAAGGCTGGTTGTCTTGACATTGGATTGCAAAGTGGGATATTATAGCTAAATCATCAAATCAGATCTGCAAAGATATTTCTGCTTGAAATAGAGCAGTTGTGCAGAGGGAAAATACACAGCAGTTGTAGTTCTGAGAGGGAGTGAGACAACATAAAAGGAATGCCTTAAAGAATGCTGCTCTGGCAAGTATCTGTTTCTTGGTGTAGGTACTGAGAGTTAGAATCACCTGTGAAGCAAAAGACATTGTTTAGATCTCTCTCCTTTGCCTGAAGGGGCGAAGGGCTAAGAACTGGTGTAAGTAAAGAAAGGTTGTTATACAAGCGCTTACCTCTTTGCATGATGGTGTGGGAAATAAGCTGAGTATTAGTAAGTCAAATATATGTATCCACATTTTATAAAATTCTTATGAAAATGATCTGCTTCCAGATCATCAGATCTTGAAGGCTTTTACAAAGGAAAGCAGTATCACTAAATCCTGGTTTACAGCAGTATGATGGAGTTTAAAATGTTATGAATAATCAGTGGTAGAATTTAGCACGGACATTATTTTTTGCCCTCATTTAAAACTGTGCAGTACTGCTGAGTGCACAGAAGAGCTGGGGGCAACCAGCTGTGGAGCTGACACATCCGTGCTCCAGCAGTGGAGAGAGGGTGTTTTATGACCTGTGCCTTATTCAGTAGACGGGGCAGGATATTAGCAATATCTGTCTACTTGCTCACTTTTCCTTGTAAGCATCTGCATTATCTTCTCTCTCGCTTTTTCATTGCAGCACAAATAAAGGTTATATTAATCACAAGTTTCTAAGATGATAGTGTTGGATGGAAATGCCTACTTCAGATTGTTATTATTGTATAATGTTGACTTGCGAATCCGGTAACTTCTTTTTTTCTCTATTATTTCCTACAGGGTGCAGCTCTAATTCGAATGTTGGCTAACTTTATGGGTCACTCTGTGTTTCAAATGGGCTTACAAGTAAGTAAAGGCATTTCTGTCTTTGTGTGGGTGCGTATTTCTAGCAGTTTCTCTTGCTCTCTCTTTTTCTTTTTACAGTATATTTGTGTCTATTTGTGGAAATGTTTCTTTACTTCAGGACCAGCTGAGGCACCAACATGTCCCTGAAGCTGAACTTGATGGAAGATGCTAAGTAGTGTAACACACATTGCGGTGCCCCCAGTTTCACCTTTATTTCTTGGTGTATCAAGCGATTGCACTTTAGGCACAGTTTTCTGTCCATTTTGTGTAGATTGCCGTATAAAAGCCATTTTGGTTATGTGGCAACTGTGTGAAGGGCTAGCTGAGGAAAGAGCTACTTCTCTTCAATTTCATTTGCATGCTGGTATGAAAATAATAACAAATGATGTCAAGCCAGCTAGAAAATACATAGCTGTAAAACTAGTAATGCTTTTCAGATAAATATTTTTGCCTTCCCTTCCTCCACAGTAAAATCCTTGAGCTTTAGTTTTACCTTTGATAAGCGTGGAATGCTCTCTGCCTTAATGATGTTTTGAAAACTCACTCTGCCTTTTAAAAGAAATTTAAAGAGGTAACATTTCTGTACGAAGAGAAAGAAATTCAACGTTCTGATTACTGAGGATGAACTCTTTTCAGCAGTAATTCAGTGCAAATGAGTGCTTCGTAAACTATTTAAAAACAAACAAGCCAAAGCACAAAAAACAATGCGACCCCCTCTATTCCATTGAAATCTGCTTGAGTAAATCATGTTACAGGCAGCTGTGATTGATGAATTATGTATGATGCAGCCTGCTACTTAGAAGTGTCCTTTAAAGTAAATTGATGTTCACCTGAAATACAATTATGCTAAGATAGAAGGAGCAATCAATCTTATCTGTTCTTACTAAGCTTTTCATTTTGAAATTTAAATAAACTACATCAGGGATCAGGTCATTTTTTAACAGAATAATTCTACCTCTAACTAAAATGAATTGGAAGATAAAATATAAACGAAAAATTAAATAAATGCATTGGTTATGTCAGAGAGATGTGTTCCATGCAATAAGCAATGGAAGGAAACCTGCTAGGGAAATACAGCTTTTTGGAGTTTATAGGGTGTTCACAGTTTGCAGGATAACATATTCACAGGACCCAGCTGGCTCATTTTCTTAGTTGTAACACCAGATGAAATCAGTTAATTAGTCTGCTTATCCATATAAGACATGTTGAAATCAAAAAGTTTCCTTCCTAAAATATTGTTTATGTCAAGGGTGAAACACTCATCTTATTTAAGGCAATAAGACTTCTGTCCTTAGTCCAGCAAACTCCGTATTCCAGCCAGAAACTTTTGCCTGCATAGATCCATTAATATAAAAATTCAATAGCAGGTTTTTTTGAAAAAAAAGCATTTCACTTAAGATTTCAGAAAGGGGAAGTTTTAATACATACATCTCAATCCTCCTTTTTCTATTTTCTTCTGTGCTTGTCTGAGAAATAACAGTGTGAAAGTTGTCCTGAAGTAAATTTAGAAAAAAAGTTCGGATCAAAGAATAGGGCTATGCAGGGATTAAATAATCATAATTACCATAAATTTGTTGTGGAGCTTTGTTTTTTTGATTTGAGTGGTTTCCTATTATTTCTGCTTTTCACCAGTTCTGCTCTAAATAGAAACTCTATGTCTATGAAAAGTCTAACTGCGAAAAGTGAAAGTCTTGCTATCAGTTCAGTAGGAAGATGATATTGTAACTTCTTTTATAAAAACTATTTGAAATCCAGATAGAGATTTTCCATGCGTATGTCTCCAAGTTGAACAAAATGAAACATGAGGTTCGTAAGCTGTTCATAATCTCCAAGTTACGCAGTTGGAAATGTCTGTCAATCGTTGAATTCTCTGTGTTTTGTAGATCTAACAAAATAGTGTTCCTGCATGGTAGAGATGGGAGGCTAGCTTTGCTAATGATAAGGGGAACTGGAGACCTAGTTTACCTTTTCTATCAAGCATTCATTTAGGCTTTTTAGCTCTTTGGCCACGATACCATTACTTGAGATTTAGTGTTGTGTTCATTTGAATCCAGTTTTATTATGGAATTCTAACATTCAACTAAATGGCCTTTCTCAAGGATAGCTGCAAAATCAAGTCTTTATTACTGCTATTTATAAGTCTCTTCAAATAGCGGATACTCTGAAAGTGCATGTGATAGTTCATTCTTCATGACTTACTCTAATGGCTTGCGGAGTGACTGAATTCTGAAGGACCTTCGCTTTATCTTGTTTGCTTTATTTTTCATTAGCCTCCAGTACATGGAGCACGTAAGTGTTAATAACATTAATATTATTTCAGTTCTTTTTAGTGTATTAGGTATGTTCTTAGTGCTTCACAGATGATGAAAATGAGTATTCCCGTAGTCTTATTACACTAGCATAAGCCATAATGAGTAGCCCTTTATTTGTGTTTATGTTGAGTGTTTGTGGTTTCATCAAAATCAAGGTATGATTCATCATCTAATTAAGAGCTACAGAAGTAGAGCTTTTATGTAAGAGAAGCCACAATAAATATGCAAGCCTTTGGGTTAAGGAGAGGAAAAGACAAGATTTAGAGCAAGAAGCAAGTGGGATAGCTACCTTTTTTGTTCCTTACCACTTTTTTCTTAATCTAATTACATGCTATCATCTATCAGGTAGACTTTTTGAAGACCAGCCAGGTGAGAAAAGTCTCTTATGTGTCAAAGAAAACAATGAGTTGTGTTAAAAAGGAGGAGAAAAAAGTTGTGGAAGGACAGTGGGGCTCTCTGTTGGATATTCTTTAGCAATGCATATGAGCTGAAACAGATGTACAAAGGTGTACATGATCCCTAACAGTTCAGCAAACTGTTTCGTAGAGGAGTCTGCAAGGAGGTAAAATTATAGTAGAGATGCTCAGTTTTACAGCGTAGATGGCTTTGGAGAGGTTCATATCTGTCAAGTATAACTGGCCTGTTCCTATCACAGTAAATATACTGTGAAAGGCCATTGGATTTTAGCGTGGAAGTTCCACGATAAAACTGCAGCTGAGAGACTACCTAGTGAAGGTGTGATATTCTGGAAGCTCCTCAAAGACATAGGATGTCTTGAATCATGTGACGTTTTCACATGATTTCAGCTTGTCACTGATTTCACATAGCACTCCGTAGACAAAACCAAAAGAGAATATATTTATATTGGCTGTAATGAATAATGGAATAATGACAGTAATAGCCACAGCTGGTAAAACTTGCACACGAGAACGTCACAGCTATTATTTCTGTAGATAATGTCTAATAAACCCTTCCTTCTCACAGTAGGTGATTTCTTTCTTTTTGAAACTCCTGATATCTTTCATCATGTGCAAAGTTGCTTATGTTCTAGGGAATTTCAGGAGGTTCATCTCACTCAGTGACAGTACTCTTCTTACAAAGTGGTGTTGCTTTTCGGTCAAAGAGCCATTTATCAGCTACGACAGCGATTAGAGTATGAAGAGGCTTGGTCAGCACCACTTGCTGTGGTTATGTTTCTGAACTGCACAGATTGGCAGAGGAAGAAGCCATAAGTTGTCCTTAATCATTCAGTCATCACTCAGGGTGGTAATATGCAATATAGTATTAGGTTTGTGTGAGATTTTTATCTGTAAGCTATTGTTCCTTATCTATGTGCATGAAATAGATGGTTGCTTACATGACTGGTGTCACTGTATTACATTTCCTGGAAGATTTTACTGCTGTATGGCAAGGCACCTCTTCAAGTTATCAGTGGGATTTTTTTCATATTACATATAGAGAGAAAGCCCAGTGATTTTAAGGTCTAGTACTTAGATGTGTGTAAAGAGGCATGTCCAGCTCTGTAATGAGACATTTCTGCACTGGTTTATTTAAATTTTTCTTATATTTGGTTTGAGTATTTTGGAGCCTCGTCTCTTTTACTGTACGTTAGTCAACACCGCATTTCATTTGCCGTGTGGCAGCTCTTGATCACATGGATCTGTATCCTTTTGAACTTCACTCGCTGCTGTGTAAGTGTCATCACTCACTCTGATTTAGTGCATCATCAGCAGTTTGAATTGGTTACTGTAGGAATCTCTGCTTCTGTGATAAAATAACTGCTTTTGTACTTTAGGCTTCACATTGTACATTTGGAAGAAGAATTTCCATACAGTGCTTTGGATATATGCTGTCTTTTTTGGTGCTGTTGAGCGGCCACTGTATTGGAACAAATTGGTCAACCTTTCAGAGGAGATGTCTGGGGAAATGTGACATGCAGGCTGTTAAATACAGCAAGATTCAGATTTCAATCGCTTTTTAGTATCATAAAGCTGGCTAGTTAGACTTTCTTTCATCCACACTGCTTAGTATTTCCTGCTCTTTAGACATCTTTGTGCATGCCGGTATTCTGTTTGAATTGTGGCAGTCAATGTGAAATCCTTTCAGAAACTTTCTAGGTGTAAAATAAGCTCTAATGTGCTATTTTACATGTTATTTGCCACTTCTGTCCAAGAATCTAGTAGCACAAAAAACGTATTCATCTATTTCCACAGTATTATTTTATAATCTATTTTTTACATAGCATATTAAACAAGTGTCAGTGTACCCATTTTATCATACCTATTTAGTATATCTTTATTCCTAATTCACAACAGCTAGCTGTATGCTATTTTAAATGAGACATCATTAGAGACTTCTTCATAGAGTTTTCTGTAAAAACAAAAAAAGTCAGGCACCTGCGAATGAGGCTCAGTGAAGCAACGAGCTGTGATGCTGTCCACAGATCAGCAGTGCTCATGGAACTACCTGGAGTCTTCCTCTGCCCAGCGAGAGGATGTAACTTTTGCCACCAGGCAGGAGTGTCTTTACAGGTGGAGTACCCATGGTGCTGCAGCTCAGCTTGCTGGTGCATTTAGTAGATGTTGAGTAAAGTACTTTTCAGCTAATTCTACACTCATCTCCTCTGGTTTAGGAGAGCACAGAGTGTATGACCTTGATGAACATCGAAGTATCACCATGGGCATACTA